ACCAACACACTCACAGCTAAGCAGGGAGTGTCTGTCAACAGCGGTTGCACTCACTGTGCAGACGTGCTTTTGAACCAAACTACTGACAGAGACAAGCTCATGCCCTGTTCCTAAATGGCTAAAGCTCATTTCTCAGAGATATACAATACCCCCTTAATCATCTGAACTTGAGAGCCCGTTCTAACAAGAGACTGGATAGCTCAAAATAAAAAGCTCCCTTAGTTGCATCAAAGAAAAATGGAAGTAATAAATATTTAGGATATATTCGCTGTTCAGTGTCTCTTGTAGTTGAATCAGCAGTGATCAGAAATAATTTCAATTCTGAGGCATTTGATTAGCAAAGAATATAGAAATGGTCTTAGCAAAACAGGTGAGGAGGGGATGTATTCATCTTCAATGCTAGTGCCACAACTGACAGCCCTGCACAAAAACAGAAGGCCCAGTGCCCATATTTCTGGCTGAGAACAGATACTCCCTCATAAGAAATTTAAAAAGCAATGGTATAACTAGTTTGAATGACAACGCTATGCCCATAAGCCTTCCATAAACAATGCTGAACCAGTTCAAGAGGATAGTACTAAGAAACAGCAAAATTCATAGGGATTACAGCCCAATTAAATGGAGGGCTGGTGCTAGAAGAAGGCAAGTTACTAGAGTCACACAGCTGGAGAGAAGGACGTGAGGCGTCCATGGAGACCACCTTTGGTGGTTCCCAAGGACTTTATCTTGCTGCTAGTCATGCTGCAGGATGCAACACTGCTTTGGCTACAGACATGTAGAGGTTCGGCACAGCTTTCCCAGGCACTGTGGGGAAACCTAAAGGAGATGAAAGCTCAGGGCAGCAACTCACTACATGGCTGTATTCAAACTGATTTGCAGCATAACAACCTGTGTGCAGGTCTCATATAAAATATATTTGTAATGGTATAACACATACTGACCTTGAGTAAATCACTAACCACCCAGCTTTTGGTGGTTTCAGTGGTCTTATTTACATGAGTAAATGAGGCTTATCCACAGTCAAAGCCTTTGAACTGGATTTCCCTTATATTTCTGCTATCATCTACTTCCTTCTCTCTAAGCAGGAACAAGAAAACTCACAGCTTAAATTGGTAATTTGTTAGTGTTTCACATTTTACAAAACCACAAGCACAAAGATTAAAGAAGTACAAAATAAATAATGCTTGTGACATGATACAGTTAACTGCAAATATTTTAGACAATTTGCCCTTGGAAAAGGCTGATTCATTAAAAGCAAAGTTATTTGCAAGGAAATGTGCCAATTGATTTGCCATTTAAAAAAGCAGCGTGTGTTGTGAAATGGCTCAAATATTCCATTTAGATATTTTTAAGGTGAAAAAGTTCTGGTTTAAAGCTCAGAAGTACCTTTTTTTTTTTGTTCTTCCCCCACAGACTAATAGATATATGTAGAACAACAACAAACCAAAATTAATTATTTTTGTCAGTTAGGTTGATGGTTGGACAAGATGATCTTTAAGGTCCCTTCCAACCTAGAAGATTCTGTGATTCTGTGATTCTGTAAATATTTCAAAATTACCAATATTAAATATTTAAGTTCATCTGATTCACCTTCCCTCTAACCTTTATTTATAAAATAATTTATATCTTATCTCTTTTTTTCTTATTAATTCAGAAAGGAGAAAGTTCTCAAACTTCAAAAAATTCTTGACAGAGATGATAACTATGTCTGGTCCATCTTCAAGTTCCGTAAAGTCATTTCATGAATATTTTTGAAGAATATTTTTTTAGAAATATTTTGAATATTCTTTTCCTTCTTCTCCCTGATTTTTTTCATCATTAGGGATATATACCTTTTTAAAAACAGTCTTAATATTAAAGAGTCCTCCTTTTTTCTGTGGCTTACTCTTCCCTTGGCCTTAGTCAACAATTTCTAACATTATAGACTATTTTCTTATGGCAAATGATTGTGAAGCCACAGGACAAAAGTATTTAACTTACTGTGAAGAACAGGTTATTTGGAAGACATAGAAAATGCTGGCAATCATCCTCATTTACAATAAAGTATTAAAAATAACATCTCAAGGCCCAAGGCAAAAAAAATCTGTTCTAAATAGAGATAAAATGAAATATAAAGCATGGGTTTTCAAATTTTTTCTGGGTTAAATAGGGTGCATTGCATTTGTTGAACTCTGGAATACTACCAAAAAACAAGGATATACATGTTCAGAAAAGGATGTCCTTGCAAAATTGGCAATAAATAGCAGCAACGGTATCATATGTACATAACAGTTTCTCCACTCACAGTCATCAGCTCACTGGCCTCATAAAATTGTACTCAGTGTCTTGTAGAGGTTTATAGCCCAGAAGAGTATTGCCTCAGCTGTCTTAAGTACACTGGACAGGTTTGTTGCACTTGAGAGGAGATATGTCATGGTGGGTTGTCTGCATCTACTGGCCAAGCCAAGATCCTTGCCTTCCAATAAGCTGCCTACTTCATGCCCCTTGATGCACAGCCCCAAAAGGCTTTTTGACATCTCCCCCAGTCTGGTCAGCACTTTACTTTTCATCTAATAAGACACAAGCACTCAAAATTCTGCAGTTATCAGGGACATAAAGATGCTGATACTTAAGTAATCCATTTTTTCAGTAAGCTACTTATTTTGTCTTGCCCATCTGAGCTTCTTATGAAAATCAACCCTTTACGCAAACAGATCCTGCACAAAGCTGCGAGCCAGGCTGTGGGTCTGGCACAGGGCTGGTCTCTGACGCGAATAGCCAGTTCAGGGGAGTGACCACTAACAAGTCTTAATTGCAACAGACTGAGAGTTAAGTACGTAGGTAGTGCTCATTTTGCACATTTTCACATCTGTATGTCTATATTTTTCTAGACATTTCTAAGTTTGATGTCAAATGGCATTTTGTCAGAAAAAAACCCAACAAACTTATAACAGCTGGGTGTAAAAATCCTACCTCCTGGGCAAACAGTGATTTAAATGTGATTTAATATTAAAAGTATGTGCATGTGTTAGTAAATGTATACTTGTAAACAGTCACTGGTAGCACAAATTTGGAGTCTTTATATCAAGATAGAAAATTTGTAACACAAAAATAAAAAAATGGTCTGCTGCGTTAGCTGCCAATATTGCTGAAATCATCATTTTCACTATGAAGTTACAATTATCCTGCTTATTGATTCTTGTCTGTTTCATTGTATCCTCAAGATGCCCCAGGCACAGATCAAATGCCATGTGCTGATCTGGACCCTCTACCTCAGAGACGTGAAAACGTTCAACCCAGAACACCTTCATTTATCAGCACCAGGACCTTACCAAGTCATTATGCCACTACAGAAAAGAAGAACACATTGGACAGTTTGCTATCTTTGCAATCAAGGTTGCATTTTGAATCCCTCACTGAATCTGTCAATGCCTTTGGAAGAACTTAAATTTTTTCATACAGAGAAGTTAATAAAAAAAAAAATTAAGTACAGGCTACATTTTAAGTTTTATATTAATAAATATTTGATCTGAGCAGCTGTTTTTCTAACTCAATCTTCTAAAGTATTCCAATATTTACACACTTCAAAAGAGGGTTTCAATTCTGCTTAGTCAAGAAAGAGAGATTTAAATGGCAAAAGCAGTGTCTATGTCGAGAAGTCCAACTAAAAGGAAACATCCAGAAAACATTTAATTTTCTCATTGTCAGTATTTCCCTAAAATAAAATGTTAAGCATCAGACTCTCACTTGATAAAGACTGCTACACATAGTATCTTAAAAAAGTCTTCCCTTATTGTTTAGCAGCCTGGTAAATAGCCCAAAACCCTCAGGCTAGTAGATCCCAGCCTTAGCTTTTTTTCAAAATTAACTGGAAGACATAAATATCAGTAATTGGTGCAGTGCTAGAAGAAGCACTGATAAGAAGATAGCAGGGACAGCATTCTTCCCTTGTGCTTGTTCCAAGCAGCAGCAGTAACTAAAACCTCTGGAATTGCAAAAACTTTCTTCTGTAACGGGGATTTTACTTTAATAACATTACCGGGGGAAATACTAGTTCTAACAAAATCAAGTGGATATGAGGACAAAAAGTTTATCCTAATCTATATGTGGCTAAATCAAAAGACCTGTAATCTCCTCTCAACAATATTTTAAAGTCTAGCACCTTTTCTGAATTTTAATTTATTTTTTGCAGATAGTTCAACTAAGGATGCATTATGTAAGCCTACAAGTACAGAATTTCTTCATTTTTTCTGTTCTCAGACAAAATAAAGGTCAATTTTCAGAACATATATTTTTTTTCTTTTCTGACTATTTATACATCTTGAAAATCATGATAAAGGAACGGAAACCCAATGTTTTAGAGCAGCATTAAGTTCACTGAAAACAAACAAACAAACAGAACCCCAAACTTGCTCTAACGGGTAGCAAATAAAATCTTTAGCAAAGAATCACCTCTCATGTTTTCATAAAATAAATGTTAATTTTGTCCAGACATTGTTAATAATGTCCATATAGATTCTGCATATTTGCCACAGCTCAGCTATGAACTACTCACAGAAAATCCTAACACAATGTGAACATGAAATGCTACTGTCTGTTGTCTAAAGACACCTCAGTTTTACAGCGGGGGTGTTGATGCTTCCAACCTTTTTATTACCTGAAAACCCATCAACAGCTTTATAATGATGAATGCAACACGGCTCAGTTTGCATTTGCAAAATTCACTGTTAAAACCGGCAGATGTGTGCCAGCACATCTGGAAACCACTTTTAATTATACTTTCCTCAAGTGGGAAAGCAGTAGCTTGTACCCATAGTGAAGCTTTTATATCTGACCACACAAATGCTAGCAACCACCTGTGCTTTACACTGATTTTCATTATAGAGTATATCACATTACTACCCTATTATTCCAGAACGACATTTGAAGCTGTTGTGTGACTAAGCTGCAGCAAGTGTGGTCTTGAAAAGGCCTCTACTCTACAAAAATGTAATAAACTTGATTGCAGTTAGGGTACTTACCGCTGAGGATATCACAATATGCATGCTCCTAAAGTTGGCTTCTCTTGCTCTGAAAGTCATAAAAGATATACATTAACAATCATGATTACCAGTCTGGGAATTGGAATTTAGCAAACTAATGTATGCCCCCAAATGAGATACCTTGTAACTATTTGGAATTCCTTTCCAATGTTTGTTTCTTTCCTACTATTAATACTTATTAATACTTAGTATTATAGTCAAATACTCTGCTTCTTCAGCTATGCTCTGAGAATACAAAAAGCAATTTCAACTGTGATGTGTCAGCCTAACAGTATTTCAATTCTGTCATAAATATTTTCATAGGTTGCAAACATTGTGAGTTACATGGCTAGGTTGGGTTTTCTAAACTTAACCTTCCTCTCCTCCTCCCCCTTGCCCCATCCAAAAGTAACAGCTTTTTTACATCACTCTTCCTCATTTCTGACAAAAAAAAAAAATAAAAAAAAAAATGTTTCAAATGTCTGTGGAATCCTTTTCTTCTTTACAATACTCTTTCAGTATTTTGGAAGAGTGTAAAGTTGACATGTAAAATTTTGTATATCATAGTGGAAGGGAAAGGTTGAGTATTTGTAATGTTCAGCCCCTGGGAGACATGGCATGCCCAGGGACAGACTCATCAGAAACGGACACCAGTATGTGTAACTTTGCAAAATGTAAAGTACACAATTTTACAGACTGGGATAATTTGCTAAACTGACCTGCACACTGTGCATGCAACTAAAAAAACATCCCAACATCACTTTAGCATAATTTAATCTGGTCATCAGTTACTGTGCTTGAAAGAAAAGCTTCTACACTGTTACACATCTAAAAAACCACATTCACCTGCCCTATATTTTCTGCCTTTAATTCAAGACTTAAGTTTTGTGGTAACTCATGAAGCCACAGAGGATCCCTCACAGGACTGAGCCCTTTCCCAGGGCGCTGCCCACGTTACTCCACCGTGTGCTGCCAAGGGCTCTGGGGCTGCAGCTGAAAGAAACTCATCCTGCTTTGAGAAAAACTCAAAGCAAACCTCAGCCCGGGATCCCGAGACAGCTGCTAGGCTCCCTTCTCTCCCGGGCAGAACAACCACCCATCTGTACGGTCGCCAGTGCCTTGGCTTGGCTCCTGCCCTCCCACCCTCTCCCCCGGCCCCGCGCACAGCCCCACGCAGGCCCGGCAGCGTCCCGGTGCCGCTGGCTCCAGCCAGGAGAGCTCTGCTCCGGCGGCAGGCAGGGCTCTCGGGGCACCACAGAGGGAACCGCAAGATTTGCTTTAATGCACCTTTCTTTTTTGTCATCTCAGAGGCTCCCATGTGACACCTGGGAGGCCTCGGAACATCTACCCAACTACTAGGCATTAAAATAACGGAGGGTGTGTGCACTGGGTCATATATATAACTTCTGCAAAAATGTTCCTAATATTTTAAGAGATTGAATATGTTAACAGTCCACAACCCTGCTGCTGTAAGAGCGTAACCTGATTTCACATTGCAAATACATTTATTATCCCTGCAAAGAAGGCATAAAACTCCTCCTTCTATTCTATAATCTGTGGTAACAATTTCAGATGGCTAAAAAAAAATATGTTAATTTTGTCAATTGCTTAAAACTAAAAGAAAAAAAGGATTGTGGTCTGCTTCAAAATACAGGCACTCTCTGAATATAACTTGTTAAAGGTTTTTCAACTAAATACACTTACAGAGCAAACAAAGACTGAAGCACTCTACGGTACTCCACAAAGGGTAAAAATATGCTTTTTCTGTTTGAAGATGAAGGTATCCTGAAATCAACCTTACTGAAAGAAAATTATGTCTAATTATCAAAATAATAGGCCTAGAATGTAAATTCTTTTCATCTTGGACAAACAGTACTTAATGAAGTATTTCAATAGGGATACATGAGAAGACAGGTAGCTGCACTTTCTGAACTCTGCTCGAAATGGTGATATGAATCGATACAGTCAAGGTCAGCCACAACTGTCATTTTCAGAAGGGGAGAGGGACGAGGGAAAAGACTGCAAATGGGCAAAATAAGCACTGGGACATCTGCTTCTTTACAACACAAGGAGGGCACGTTCAAGCCTTTTACTCAGTAAACCTTCGTCTTCGAGGAGTGTCAATGAAGGCAAGGAAGATGGCAATGCCAGTCACGCTAGTGCCATCAGGAGCTAAGGGGGAAGAGGCAGCTTTTGGCACCCCAGAGCAGCCAGGTCACAGGGTGCTGGATCCAAAGAGCCGTGAAGTCAGGGGGATTCTCCCTGCTGATTGCAACGGGCCCTAGAACAGCCCTTGCCCTTATACATCTTTAACTAACCCACTCATAACGCTGTCATCATGAGCTTAAGGATGTGACTGGGAAGGAGAGCAGAAATGTCTTTGAAGTCATGAAATATATCCAAGACCCTGGATACCTGCCATTTTAAAACACTGAGCTGAATGCACTCAGCCTTAGCAGCAGGTCTGGAAGCAAGGAGCAAGCAAACAGAGGAAAAAACCCACCACGGACGCAACCTCCCTGCCCAGCTCCTTCCCACTGCAGGCATTTTGGGTGCCCCAGAGTGGTACCCCCACAGGTAGCCAGGCAGGCAGACCGCACGCCCGCAGCCACGCTGGAGCCTGCCCATCGCACTCGCCCGTCCCCGAGACCCGCTGGAAACCAGCTCCGGGGCCAGGGGCTGGTGCTTGGGGTTGCCCACATCTGCGGAAGGAAAAACACCTGGGCTTAGGTACAGGGTGCCGGGGAGGCCGAGCCGGCAGAGGGATTAGTCCCAAGGGCAGGCTACTGCCGACAAAGCCGCGGCCGTTTTCCCCAGAGCTGGGTTGATGTCGTGCCCGTTCTCTCCTATAGCAAACTGACTGAAAATACCAAAAAAGTCTTTGCGATCCTATTGGTCCTGCCAAGGGAGCTTGACTGGCAGGACAATGCATCTTTGTTCTCAATTAAAAACATTATTTGGGCGTAGTAATTATTTAAAAGCCAAGAGGGATATGATTTTGTGATTATAGCCATAATTTCTCAGTTGAAGAGAAGAATGCCTTAAACGATCAAGGTTTGGTAGAGGGAAAAAGAGAGAGGGAGTTACAACAAACACTACTATGACTACATGTAGCCTCCATCCAGCTAGTGCAATTTTACTTCTATTTTGAAATCACCGTAGCATAATCACAAACCAAAATCTTAATTGTAGTGAAAAACCACATATGACGTGCTGATATGGAGGGATTTCATTAGCACTTTACATTACTGGATACTGCAAGTAGTCTGCCTGCTACGTTCTCCTTTTTGTAAGCATGCACAGCAATCGTGGCTATTCTAATACAGAAAAACGGGAAGCGGAGCAAGAAAGAAATGGAGAGAATTTGTGTTAAATTGGATTTTCTTGTCTCCTCCCGTAGCTTTTATCACCCAGATGACAAAACATTATCATTAGCAGTTTATACCAAAAGTTAACATTTGCCCATCGTTTTCTATTTTCTCTAAACCACAAAGGTTGGAGCCTGTTATGCACTCCCCTTATCTTACTCTGTTACTTTAGAATCTAAGAGCGCACTGTGCACATTAATCTTTCATGGCAGAGTTCACTGAAGTTCTGCCAAAATTCAATAATTATGTTCCATCCAATGCAGCAATTTATTTATCTCATTGCTGGAATTTAGAACATATAGAACAAAGTGCTTAGTTTATGTGAATGAAATGGTTGCTAACCCTTTCCCCCCTCCCCCGCCAACACAAAACAAAACAGCCCTGTTTCATTTCTAAAGTTTTAAAACACACAGTAGAATATATTGAAGAATAAAGTTATTTTTACAAGACCTCACATTTTCTTCATAAACTCAAAGTGTTCTGCAAAATGTTTAGGGTTTTGTTTTGTTCTTTTTTTTATATAAGTGAAAGTATTTTATAAATAAATGTGTAACTTCTATTCAAATGCATAACAGTATGTACCACTTACACTGCACTACTAAAACATAAAATATTAATGTCTAATGGTCATTAAAAATGCCAACTACAAAGCATGAATTTGTATTTTGAATGGAGAATATATTGGTTTACTGCACTGAAATGGGTAGCTGGGAGTTCAACAGCTAAGATACAAAATTACAACAAAGTTAAGCTTTATAATTGCACTCTTTCATGATATGTTTGCAAACAAATAGAAAACATAAAGCCCTCCAAGTAGGAAGATTAGAGACACGTTATTCCTGAGGGCTGTTAAAAATAAAAATGGCATAATAGAGGATACTTAATATCCTTCACCTTTTGTACTCTCAGAAAAAGTAACTAACCAGTTATTTATCGACCTGACTATAAAGAAGAAATGTTAATCTCCTGGTTTAGGATTTAAAAACAGAATACCGTATCTATAAATTTTAAACTTAATACTTATGAATAGAGAATGCTGATTTATCAGATAGAAACATGACTTCTTTTTATGTTCATACAGACAATACATTTCTCGACGAAGGAAAACGTTAATTTAGAGGCTGCAATCAAACCACAAATTTAGACTGTTTTAAGTTTTTAAGCAAAACTTTCTGTTACTTCATACATTAGATTTTACACTTAAATTTGTTATCAGACAAAATTGGGATTTAGAAACTGCTCACGAAGTTTTTGGAGCATAACTTGTTGTGATTTATAACACAACCCTTCACCCACCAAAACAGAAATGAAAACCTCTAGAAGTTGTGCACTCGCATGTCTTCATTATTTCACAGTAAAACCTTCTAGGTAAAACTAGGAATATCACAGAAAAACATTTTAAAGTTAGTTTTGCAGTAACTGCATGTGCATATGCATATTTTAAATTAACTGTATCTAATTTAATACATCAGGATAAATTACTTCCACCCACCAGCAAATAAATTCCATAACGATTTGCAAAAAGTCTATTATCATCTCATTTATTTTTGCACCCAGTATGGTCGTTTCCTGGCAATGCTTTACATTAAAACAGGATTCAATTGGGATGTATTCCTCCCTGTTGTAAAACTTTTTTAAAATCCCAGAAAAATGCAACTAAGTCCTATCCATTTTATTTTAC